TTCAGAACACGGTGGGGAGCCGCCGCGTGTAAACGTGCTTTCCACCATTGTGTATATATATTTTTTATTGCTATCGGGGTGGGACTAAGTCCCTTGTACTGCGGCCACTTCTGGCCTACTGTACCAGCCCCAGATGAGAGGTGAGGGTGATTGTGGAGAAACTGGTGGAATGAAGATTGGCAGGGGAAACCGAAGTACTCGGAGAAAACCTGTCCCAGCGTCACTTTGTCCACCACAAATCCCACTTGACCAGACGCGGGATCGGGAAGCCAGCGACTAACCGCTTGAGCTATGGCGTGGCCATTCCTTGTGTATAAGTATCAAAAGATCTAAAACTGTACCTATGTTTAACTCTTTGAGCACCTCACCATGAAGACGTATGGGTATTTACGTATAGTTCGACAATTTCGGACATCAGCATTGTTTAGCTTCACGCCCTGGCCTCTTTACCCCAGTGATTAGTCCCTAATACCCATTGGACAGGGGACTGTGTGGACCTCAGAGCCGGCCTGACGCTGTGGGGTAGAGGAAAATTCCTTGCCCCTACCTCGAATCGAATGAGACTCGTCCGACAGCGAGTTTTGATGCATATCTAGAATCGTGTGTAAATCTATATTTAATATTAGAGTCAATTTTACCGACCACACATATTTTTATTATTATTACACTACATGTTTCGACCCCAAGAGGTCATCCTCAGGTGTACGAACACAGCTGTATAATTACACGCAATGATATTTGTCTTTTCACTTATTCGATCCTGTATCTTATTCAGGCCCACGCTCAATAATATATCAAGTTCCTCTCACAAAACACAAGTGATAATATTATTCTAAATTTCAAAAGTTAAAATTTAAAATTTAAAATTTGCGAATCGAATTTCAATTCAGATCACTAGTGTGCTTTCACCCTCACTTATACAGTCACTTCCTACTTACGCTCATCACTGCGTCAAGTTCACTTTAACTAGTTTTAATTATATTATTGGTTAAAAAGTTCATGAATTAAAGTTCAATTTTATTATATTGCACTTTTCACTTTTTGGAGGTCTCGCTGTTTTTCTGCGTCCTCTGATGTTGCTGGATCTGTACGGTCCTTGTCATGATGGCTTGTCATGTGAGAGCAACTTGATATGGTATTTTAGAAAAGTAATTAAGTTCGAATTGAGCTTCATGTGAAGTAGGATTAATATGTGATTTCATTTGTTTCCGTTTTTTCCACAGTAACTCCAATATTTCCTTTCTTGTAAAGTCACACTTCATTCTATTGAACGGAATCTGTCCTAAACAAGGGAGTCACTCATTAACTCATTACCGTGCTCACAAGGATCCGCCGCCGGACTTCGCCCACTTCTAATTATCACCAAACAAATGCTAAAGTGTTATTCTTTCATCTGTGCTTAGGCCTTCACGTTTTTCGCCTGAAATTCCATCGTGTTTCTCATCTCGCCCACGCGTGGTACATGCCCCTTGCATGCCATCCTTCATTCGAGTGACTTAACAGATAGGCCGAGTTTATTTTGGGATTTCTAAACACGATATCAACTATCACCCAACCTCCTATCCAGTGGGTACAGGGGTAAACCGGCCGGGGTGTGAAGCTGACCACTCACCTCCAGCCAGCTAGTGCCGAGGCCACGAAATTGTGGGTCTATACATCCACTTCCCCATACGCTTTTACGGCGCGGTGCTTAGTTAAGCACCTCACCTTCTACCTTACTCATACTGTTGAATAAGAAAGATATTAAGTTCTGAACGATGTATCTCGATTTTAGCAAAATATCCCTTTAACTCACAATGCAGACGGTCGATACAGATTTGAGCTGGACGCAGTACAGCCACGTACAGAAGGTCGATATACTGATGCTGCTGACATCACGTATACAGACAGTGGCTCGTCAGAGTGCTTCAGAAAGAATTCATCAAAAAATTCCGCTTTGATAAGTCGACCATTTTCCCTACGGGAGTATGGCGACTGAACACATCATTCGGCTAAATATAGAGGGCCCTGCTGCTGGCTGGTGGCACCATATTGTACCGGCGAGTCAGGATATGTTCTTCCGTTGTGACGTCATATCCGTGAATGTGGTTTTAAATTCGTTGCAGTTTAAAAAAGTTCACAAGAGGGAAACTGGACTTAACCTTTTATTCCTGCCACAGAAATCTACATGTTGAAAATGTCGTCCATATTTATTCTTAAAGCTAGAGTCCTGGAAGGTTGGTGTAGCCGTTATTCTGTAGACTTGTGTTCGTTACTAACCGTTCTGCTTCAGATTAACGAGGCTTTAGTCAGATCCCCAGGTGAAACTGGAATAGTACCTTGAAATGCGACCGCTTCTTTCAAATCCTCTTTACTCAATCATATATGATCAAATTGCTATTTACAGGAGTTTGTATACACGTTGAAGCTGAAACGTTCTTATGTAACTCGAGCATTTAGTATATGAAGTACTAAATGAAATATTGATATTTCAGAATTTCTTCTTTCAGTTTCGTCTTGAGTTGCATATGTTGCGATGTTTAAACTCTGGAGCACTTTCAGCTGGTTTATTACGTTTTAACTCCGTGGAACAGGCCTTGATAAGCTGATGCCCTGATGGCCAAGATAGTTTTCTCCTTTTATGAAATCGGAAGGAGCACGCGGTAGCGTAGTTGTTTGAGGCACTATGCTACAAGCCGAAAGGTCGCGGGTTCTAGTCCAGATGAGGTCATTGGATTTTTCAGTTGACCTAGTCCATCCAGCCGTACTATGGCCCTGGTTTTGGCTCTGCCTCTAACAGAATGGAGAAGCAGGAATCCTGGGGGTAAAGGGCGGCCGGCGCAAGACTGACATCACCGCCATCTGTGAGCCGATTGTGTAGAAAATGTGGGAGCCTCGACGTCTCACAACCCTATGGGCCTCCACGGCCTGCTACAGCAATAGCTTTACCTTTTTTTTTTTTACGAAATCGGAAGGTTCGTTCCCGTGGTCACAAGTGCCTGTTATAGGATCTCATCTTGAGCCAGACGAGTCCAATCCACATCCTCATATCCAGTTCCTTCGAATTCCATTAATTGCCCCTCCCTGTAACCCCATAGCTTCCAAGCTCGTAAAGGAATTCCTTTGTCATGGTGTATAGCGTTTGCATTGTACAGGTTTAGGCAATTCGTGCTAATTCCATCCTCAATTCTAAGACCGTTCCTAATGGCACATTCTAAGAGAAATTAAAAAGAAACGCGGATAAAGCATCCGCTTGTTTTTGTCTATTAAGAATGAGAAATATGCAGACAACTGTTTACCTTTGCGAATTTCATTTAACTTGAGAAGTTTTCTGGATATTCTAGATTCAATTAAAATGCTCTGCGATACTTGTCTACCTCAACACCTCTCCAAACCTGTCATTTCAGCATCTGTGAAATGCACATAGAACGGCTTCTGAGCATAATGTATGGCTCAACTAATAGGTCTGTGGCGAAATCAGACGAAATTGTAAACTAGTAATTATACACGTACAATTTAGTGATCTGTTTCTATGCATAATTTCCACTACTACAGATTTGTCCCACGTAATCTTGAAGTTTCGCAGCATCACCATGCTTGCACTGTTATCATCTGAAATATGGTTTATGGGTGATTTGTGGGTATGTTTATGATCTGTCCCTGTACAAAATGTCACATTCCTTGCTCTAGTGGTTCGTTAATCGTCGCCGCCGACAGGGAGCGAAGTATAGACTTCATAACGGCCGTCATATTGTTTATACAGAATTGACCCTACCAGATGTAGCTTACACGCATGTACCCGTATATCCACACTATTGTAGCAGTCTACGTGGCTCAAGTGTCGATCGAAACTCAGAAGTCCGCACGGCCATGTTGGTATTTTGTACATTAGGAAATTAAAGGGCACAGACGTAGGGGGTCTCTTATGGCCATATTTCATGAAAACCTGTCATTTGCTTCAAAAGGCGGCAGACACGCGGAAAGACGGACATACCATAAAATAGGCCTAGGAAAATAAGGCGAAAGATTGACACAATGATTTGCGTATTTCGTCTGATACCGCGTGCTGACGGAAATATTCCGAAATAGAGTTTACCGTGCCAATAGAACGTTACACAGGTGACATTTTGTATGGAGGTCGATTAGTACAATCAACTTTTTGTCTCGTTTAAGAATAATTCATGTTTTTGTAAATATTTATATATGGCTACTGTTATGACATTGCACAAATGTGATGCAGTATGTAATTATGCTTACTCATGTTGACTACTTCTATATCCGTGGTGTTTTGAAAAAACCATGTAAGGATTTATGGAATGCTGAATAAATAATAATAATAATAATAATAATTACTTCGTAAGATTTTCTTTTGACATTTTCGCTTATGCTGCAGGCCTATACGAATTTTGTGAAGCTATGAGCTTCTCATTGAATTAAATAATCTTGAATTATACCGCTTCTTGTGTATTTATTTAGGCCCACTTTGCGTTTTCTTCACTATTGAAATTCTGAAAAATTTCGAAATTATTTGAAATTTTGCTCTTGCATTTGTGTGTAGCATGTCTCCGTATGAAGCTTGTATGTTTAAAACCGAAACACTTATACCAGTGAATAATGATGTCACAGTCAAATGCCCTATAAACGGTGCTTCTCAGACTGTGGAAAGCATTCCCATTGCGGACTGTTCATGTTTCAACCCTACCGAGAATGGATCTGTACATATGACAGATGTGATTGTGAATTCGTAAGATTTATTTTAACTGTTTCAGGGGGTGCAGAGCGCAGTAAATTCTGAGAATCGTTATCAGTCATACTTAAAGTACGATTAGCGTGAAACGCGTCATTCCTTCACAGAGAATCGAATAGAGCGAGGCAACGCGGCGGCGCCTGGCTTTTGTGGGGGGTTTGTGACACTGCTTTCAGGATTTTTAAATTAAACCCATATAAACGGTGTAATTTCATGATTAATAATTTGGATCGCTTATCCATATATTGCAGTCATTAATGTGTTCTTGTTTCAGGTGCCGGAGAATCTGGAAAAAGTACGATAGTCAAACAAATGAAGTAAGTACTTCTGCAGCGATTTATGTGTTTACTGTAAAATGATTGAAGTGCTACATGGCAAGTGTTGTATGCCATCTGTTAGCCCGCGAACACAGAACTGCAAGTCTGAAATGATGGCAATGATATCCCATAAATGAAGACGCATTTCCTCTCTTTAAAAGTTGTCCCTGTGCTCAACGAATTTAAGCACTACGCTATGAAGGCGTATGGGGAGTAGATGTATAGATCCACATTTTCTTGAACTCAGCACTAGCTGGAGGTGAGTGGTCAGCATCACGCCCCGGCCGCTTTACCCCAGGGGAAAGAGCATCCACTACCCATTGGGTAGGAGGTTGGGTGTACCACAGAGCCGGTTTGGAAGATTTGGAAAAGAGAAAATCTTGACCCTACCTGGACTCGAACTCCGACCCCTCAGTCGTCCAGCCACTATACCGGCTACGCTACCCCGGCTCTCTGTTTCCTTCCTTTGCTTAGCTTTATTTAGCAGATATGTCTTCTGTAGTGTCCATACTCTTACTGTATCCCTGGTAACTTAGACATGATTTCCAATCATGAAACATAACAAATAATTTAAACCCGAAAATAAAAGGTAAGCGGTGTTCCCCTCCCTTCTACTTCGTTAAACACCAGGGTTATTCGAATTAGAAGTGGTTGGAGATCCTGAGCAAGAAATTCCGTTCTTAGTATGGAGACGTTCAATCCAGACCCTTGTTAATTTAGTTCAAAATATGCGAAGGTACGTATGTCACTTCTACGCCCTGCTCGTTGAGCTTACGAACCTTTCAGAGACGGTTGCACGCATGGATGACAAAAGAAATGCACACGAACTTCTGGTCACTAAACTCACTGGAAAGAAACCTAAACGTAAATGGAAACATAATATTAAAAGTGACGGTAGAGACGCGGGATGTGAAGATAATTGCATTCACCTAGGTGAATGCAGTGACAAAACTGCAGTAATCATGATGTTCTTTTGGGTTCATGTATAACAAAGACTCTCTTAAAACAGAATAAGGAAAGCTCAGAGGAATCCTGTGCCTTGGAGGTTTCTTATTCGGGGGACGGTGTGAGACTGGACGCACTTGGTACGTTGGCCTATTGTGCCAGCCCCGGATGATGGGTGATTAAGGAGTATTTGGTGGAATGCGAACTGGCAGAGGAAACGGAAGTACTTGGAGGAAACCTACCCTGTTGCCACTTTGTCCACCCCAAATCCCACATGACTTGACCAAGCGAACCCGGGCCGCCGCAGTGGGAAGCCGGCGACTGACGTAGCTCCGTATATGAGGATACTTGTAAGTAGTGGATTGAGAACGATTTTCGAGGGAATTTTCCATCATGTGACTGGATGCACGGAGGAAAACATGGGAAACGACCCCGGCCGAAAATCTAACGCAGTACCACACGAATGTGAAGCATTGGCAGCCGTTTCTGGGTAACACCAATCGCTTGGTTCTAACCGACGTTTTTCGTGAAGAGTTTGTGAGAATTGTGAGAAAATTCGGGCAAAAGCTGTCATCGCCGGAGTTCTGGCACCGATTCTATTGTCGTGTAGTTAGTAAAACTGCAGGGGTCCAGAAAATCGGGGCGATTTATAGGTGGCAGGCGTGTCGAGTCGTCACGCCGTCAGATAACGTTGAGAGTATACTTAACGTGTTGCACCCATACATCTGTACCAGAATATCGACTGCAGCCAGAGATTAATTAACGTATTTGCATAGATTTTGGGCCCCCATTTTGCGAGAGACTTTCCTACTCATTCATCACTGTTTTCTCCACCAGTGGGTAACGCGCTAGGAGCTTCTGTTCTGGAAGTACTTGTTTGAAAATCGATTCGGCCGTCTTGAATGAGACCATTCATGGTTTTCCTGAGTTTCTCCACTGCACTTTCTTGAAGAGTATTGTTTTCTAGGATGTAACGTTGTGTAACCCTGTAAAAGTTCACCAGACTACACGGCGTTACGTTCCAGAAGATAGTAGTCTTTATAGTTGCCTCTGTAGAATTGCAGTTCCAAATCCTTGCGCACACAATTTCTCTCAGCGGTGGTTATTAATCCTTCTGTCTTCGGGCATATAACATTGTGTGGTCCGTCGATAGTCAACCGACGTTTCGGAAGAACATGTCGCCTTCAGAGTATGTCGAGCAGCGCAGCTCTGTTTGCTTGGCTTGCAGTTAACTCACTGCACGGTTTCGTGTCGCGGAACGAAGATTCTTATTCGCGATTACCTCACCCAACGTTTAGCAGTAACGCTTTTAGACTTATATTCGAGAAGGAAGTTACCTGGTTCGAATCTCGACTGGGTTGCCTGTTTTCATGGTTTTTCGTAATCTCTCCAAGCAAATGCTGCTGTATTCGCACAGTATTCATGACCATCTTCCTGTCGTACCAACCTCTCACTTCTGTCCAGGGTCCACGAAGGGAGTGGTCGACCGCTCAAAGCCCCTCGCTCGCAGGGTCCTCGCACCATGCTGGTCCCGCGTCACAAAATTTTCGGGTCTGAACGGATTTAAATTCCCAGCACTTCGAAGTGGAACAGCTCTGAAGTTTTTCAAAATAAACGGGAATGCAAATTTCGATGCCAAAGATTTTAGTTAGAATAAAAATGGAGATTAAGTCTAATTCTTCCAGAGATGTAGTCGCATGCCAATTCTTTGCAATAACGGAAAGAGCATGCTTAAGCGAAAAACAGACTTTCGTTCAGTACCGAATGAGGAAAATCAAAATGAAAACGCCCTTACAAGTCTCCCGGGAGAGTGAACCAGAAAACTATGCGAGGATCTATCACCTGTGAACCTGGTGAGCGACTTGGACCGCTGAGTGACTCACATCGACAGCAGTGGCGGCAGCGTTCTCAGTGCTGAGTCCATTGAGATCTGATACGTCGTTTCAGGGATCTTCGCTGATCTCTGCTGCCTCAGATAACACTGGTTCACAGCGATGTGATGAGTACCCATAGGTTGACAAAGTAGACATGTTCGTAATTTCCTGATGCAATTTAGTTTTAAGAACTGGTGGGTTATGCACTTTGACTCTCATAGGAACTGTGTTTATTATTTCTCGTTTTGATTGCATTGGACATCACGGAATTGTATTCTGATAAATGGATGTTGTGACTGGAAACATAGAGACATTAGAAGTCGTATAGAATCCGCGTTGAAGTGTCTTGAATAGGAAGAACGGTTATTGGGATAATAAGAACCTAGTTTACATTCAGGAATTAAAAAGACACTGGCCCTATTTACTGGAAACAAAATGTAACATTATCCTCAGATGCAACTCAGGAAATGTTATCTGAACATTACCAGTGTTTCGCGAGCATTTCCATCGCACGCATCGCGGCTTAAGCCGTGAAACACAAAATGAACTGGTGAAGTTAGTGGAAAGTAAAGTTCAGTGAACTGAAGGCCCTACTCGTATTAAGCAGATTGGCAGATACCTTTCAAGATAATTAGAATGTTTCTTTCAGAGCAGTTTCCGTGATTTTGTGGCGTACCTGCGTCACGTCATAGAGTTGCATGGATGGGACGATCCAGCAGCAGGGTATAGTTATGAGAACTGCTAAATCCATAAAGCAAAGTCGCTTCAGATGCATGAACGTGTACGTAGTTTTCTCACCGAGGAGTCCCACCAACTTCTTGCCCAGGATCTCGCCATTCTCTGCACCGCCGACAGTGAACCGTTTTATTAAGTGATTAGCCCTTCCCGCCGCACGTGAAGGACGCTGCTTTCCCATATTGTGACATAATGTCACATCACAGAACGTGAGGTAGACACATTTCAGTTGAACAGAAACTTCCTCCGATGTATTCAGTGCAAGCCGTACAAAAGTGCAACCATTTTACTATTTTCCCCGTTCGATCTTTACAATTGGCTTTGATGCTCTTTTAGCGCATATCCATCGTTGAAAATCTATGATACTGTCAGAAATTGCTTTGAGCCTCGACCTAAGTGTGCAACACATCGAAACATGTTTTGAATAAAAGTTGTGGGACTTCACCATTGGAACTTTATTTTATATCATGTGCATATCTTTTTATTTATTTTTCAATTGGTTGAATTTTAACTTAGCTTCAGGTAAAACGGGTCCTGTATTAGACCGGTGTTGACCGAAATGAAATGTGCCCTAAAATGTTTCCCATGCCTCCCCCCCCCTTCCCCGAATTAAAATTAATCAAACTCCATATATACGTGTAGTAAGACAGATTCCATTAGAGTAAACCTGATATATGCAGAACTACTTTCCCTTTATGTTTAAATTTTAAGAACTTTGTGCAAATAACATAAGAATTATAAACTTTTAATGAATGATCCTCAAATACGTAAATGCAGCAATCCAGAACACTTCTTTCTCTCTTTGTTAGTTAATGCTTCACTTTCTTCGTCTGTCCGTTTCTTTCTGCACTAAAACGATCTCTAGGCAGAGTGTGTGCATAATTTTGCTGCGACAGTCCCGATGTTTCGCGTGGTGTGAACCTCTCTAGGCGTGTTCTGCACTGACTGACGTCAGCTGTTGAGATGAGTTATAGTGCGAAAGAACGTGGCTATTTTAATCACATAAAACAAACTAGTTGAAAGAATTGGAGTATGATAACAATAAACTGGATCAGTAAAGCGGACAGTTTAGTACCGTCAGGGTGTAAGTCAGTGGTTCCCAGGGGGCGGCGTTGCTCATTTATTTACGGTTGAAGTGAGTTTAGTCCAGACACTGGGAAACATCAAGCCCAGTCATCGCATTATGAGTTTACCGACAGCGAAGTAGTTACTAAATGTGGGTTGTGCACACCATTATTCTGAAGAGGGGGTGAGTTTATGGAACCAAGGGGGCAGTGGCCCGAAAAAGTTTGGGAACTACTGTTGTAAAGGATGATACAAAAAAGCACCACACCATGACAGAGTGTAGGAGAACTGAAAGCAGAGCTTGACCCCGAAGAAAGATGGAAATGAAGCCGTAGCCTCCATCACATTTGAAGTTCTCGAGGCAGTAAATATCCAGGATAT